ATTGAACTGGATTAACTGTTCAGAATGGTTGGTAACTCCTCAGCGCTCTAGTGGCAGGTGCAGATATAAACTTAGTTCCACCGTGTTTGATGTCTGTACTGTCTGCTGCTGCATGTAAATATTGTTTGATATTATTACTATGACGTTAGAATGTGCAGACGGTGGTTGATATCTAATAGCTGTAGAGTACAGTATAGAGTGATACTACACTGTTGAACAAATATCAGCTGATTCCACTACTTCAATCAAGTTTTCATTTGTAATAAACACGTAGTATTGATTCACCAGTACACAGACATCTGTACAAGGAGCACCAGCTGTACACGTGTCTCACGTGGCACTTCAACCTGCTCTGAGAATACAACCATGATTGTCCTTCGTTTAACAAGGTTGTTTGCCAGGTTTTAATGATGTAATTAACTCAAGTTAAGCCAATTAGTGCTGTTTTGTTTCGATGCTCCCCTTTAGAGGGTCCTGACTGCTGGTCATGTATACGTAGCAAGAGACATGCAGATGTTAATAGCTGGCTAAAATTACCTCAATGTTGCTGCAAAGCAGCAGCAAAGCTACAATTGGTGTGTCTAGGTAGACAAAAAGAAAGATTTTTAGAGCAAAAATGTGGCCATTTTTTATTTGTTTATTGGAATCAGTGGAGTTTCCTCTTTCCAACAATGAAGACATGAGAAAATATTTGTCTATAAAATTTATTTTGGTTTATTTATTTATACCTTTTCTTTTCGTGTAAGCAGAGTGAAAGGGACTTGCTGCCTGTGGCTGCGTCCTTGGTTGTTGGTGCTCAGCTGCTGAATGGGCTCAGACATATCTGTAAGAATTTAAAAAAAAAAGGAAAAAGGAAATTAAACTGTCAACAGAAATCATGTTTAAATTTTGAAAAAGTTTGTATGAAACACGTGCGTGATGTTTTGTATTTACACTTGACCTACCTGTACTCTAATAACTGAAAAAGATGTCCCTTTACACATCACTAATGTCCATAAAAAAAAAATCTAAAAATGTTTAATTATAACATCTGACACAAACTTCACACATCACTAATGTCCATAAAAAAAAATCTAAAAATGTTTATAACATCTGACACAAACTTTACGGTATTTGTTGATGGTGGGGATACAGTCAACAGGTACAGTCAAGAGTACAGTTATTATCTACACATGCTGACATGTTCTGTTCACACACCCAAAGTACGCAGCCCTGTAACACAGAACAGACACGTTGACACAGACCCGTTGACAAGCCAAGTCAACACTGTGTTTCTACCTCGTACTGGATTGTAAATCAACCAAAACAAGTCGATCGACCAAAAACAAGTACTTAACTTGTTTATCTTTATCTAGATCAGAACAGACATGGGGATGAAGGAAAGACCACTGGTTGTTTTTAGTAAAACACACTGGGTTGAAAATGTTTTGCCTTTTTTTATTTAATTATGTTCTTGCCTATATGGTCTAATTTCTTTTTACCATAAACTCCATCTTGTTTACAGACAACAAGGCTTTCACAAATCCAAAACAGCTGACCAAATCTGCTGCTTTGACCTCATTCATTTTACAATGAGCCTCTGTAAATATCTCCTCCAGACAACATCGTATTTGTAACAAACAACCCAGCCAATCCATTTACACAAAACAAATTGAATGAAAACAAAACAATTTTATGTTTAACAAATGGATTTGGAATTGTACAGCATGATATAAAAATCCTGCCGTAAAAGTGTTGAAATTTAGCCTGAATCTGTTTATTGCCCTGGTCTGTGCGCTCATAGAAGGTTCTTGGTTAAAAAAGAAAACAACAAAAAACTGATGTTGACATCGACGGCTGCATGTAACATCTGGATGTATGGCAATTTGAAATATAGGCTCCTCAGGGCATTACCAAAATTAAATGTTAGAAAATTATCTACATGTTCCTTTTGAAGTGTAATTGTGGAGTAATGAGCAGGATTCATGTGGAAACAGGAAGACTTCTGTGCACAAAAATCTCTCAAAAATGTCAGTCACCCATTCTCCTCTTATTTTTTGTGTTTCTCAGCTAATTTAAAATGTTAAAATAAACACTGATTTAGAATTTAAATGCAGACTTTGTGCCTGCTACCTAGTCAAAAGGTACATCACCAACACTTTAAATTTTTATTTCATAGTCACTGAACATTTGTGATATGCAGTCCTGACATTACTCCACACAGGCTACAAGTAAAAGATGACATATAATCACCAACACATTGTCTTTTCATCCTAATGTCTGTCTTACCCTGTGATCCTCAGTGAACACGTTAATAAAACACAGTCATCTGCTGTGACGTAGAAACAGCCAAACTTATTTTTAAATTAATTTCCTTTCGTAGCAATGTAACTTAATGTTACTTGAATATTTGGAGAACATTTTTGCAGATCTATTAGACCAAAGCCACACAAATAATCAACTGCCTTTTGGACAATAGACAGCTTCATGTTTGGTAATAAAACCAATACAAATTAATATGAAGAGTATTTTACAAAAAAGCAATTTTTTTTGTATGTCAAATAGGACGTCTCCACAAAGGGAACATTTTTGAAAATGTTTAATTCATGAAGTCATGTAGGTTTAAGGACAATACAAAGATTTTTTGTAAAAAATCCCATAAGAGGTTTTATCGATACTTGAGAATCGAAAACTATCATATTGCAATGTCGCAAAATGCTTTTTCGGACCTGTATTTACTAAAATGTTTTAAACTTATCTAGTAAGAAGTAAGGACTGGATCATTGGCATTTATTTGATAATATTACTTAAAAATACTTTACATTTTTGAAGCATCATTATGACGGTAACTTGAATATCCTAAATTGGTGGCCAAAACCAAAGGACAAGAGGATCAACATTTGCCACGACTACATCAATTTCAAATTGAATCTAAATTGGTCGACAAACATGACTTAAACAATATGATTCCAAAGTATTTAAAGTATAGTAAAGTATTTACCAACTAAACCAGAAATGGTTTGCAGTACAATAATAAAGTAGCAACAAGAGGTGTCAAAATTTAGGCAACCAAAAGTTGTATTTATCCCTCCACTTTCAGGGTTTTTTTTTAATCATTTGTTTGAACCTTGTCACAGTTCGACAGCATGAAGTCAACGACGAGTCTGTACTACAGGCAGTAGACCTGTTGACATGGCTGAAACGGGTATGACTCTGTTCCTCCTCTGGAAACTGGGTCAATGTACACACGGGGAATGTATGCATTCTAGGAGTTGAGAACAACTTTAAACTAGTTAACCTGTCGCTGCTACTTTGATAACTTTTCTGGTGAAAAAGTCACTCACTTATAGCACTTGTTAAGGACAAAAATATTCGAGTTATACTTTCCAATAAAGACAAAATACTACACGCACTGTATGTCTCACGACATATGGCCGTGCGTGTTTTGTTTTGTTTTTTTACCTTGAGCAACTTCCACTTGGTGTCCTCTGGCTACGTCCTGCCAATAATGCAGCAGTCGGTCGTCGTCCTCTTCCATCCCCTCTCCTTCTTCTTCCAAGCTGCCGTTGCCGGAGTCTGACAGCTGGTCTTCGGCGAAAGACTCCAGGTCTTCCAGTGTGATCATCCCGCCTCGGTCCGTCTCCCTGTCGTCTCCCACACGACCACCACCACCGCCATTCATTTGACAGCCACCCCTGTCCATTGTCGTTCGTATAAGCGAGTATTTAACGAGGAATATAATGTAATTTATAATGGAGGACCTAAATGAAACAGGCGTCCAGCTTCTAGTCGACGTTTACGTTTTTCAAAAACGAATTTCTCCGTCGGACAGTTACGACCGTTACTTACTGACCAGGAAAGCGCTCAGTGCACGCGTTTGTTCATATTCACCCCAGTTGTGTCACAGTATATGTTAACGAGTCATTCTACGTTCTTAAAGTACACTTTATATGTCTACTTATTTCTTTAAAAGTATCGCGGTCGTACGGAGCAGCTCATGACAATCGTATGTTTCGCCTGAGGTGTATGTGCTGTTTATAGACGAGGCGAACACCACGTGACCATGCACCGCCCCGCCCACTTTACTACTTCTGAAGATAAATAACAGAGACCCCAGCCCTGATTCACAGCACCCTGACAACGACTGAAGGAAGGACGTCAGAAACCTCGACTTCGATGTTCTTTCCTTTTATTAAGTACACCATGACAACTTCGTTAAAGGCAAATATATAGCCAGCCAATCACTTCACCGAGAAGTCTAGGCATTTAAGCAGACATATAAGATCAACACAACAAGGTGGAAAAATAAATCCAAGTCTATTAAAGGATAGGATATTTGAATTAAGTATGTTTCCAATGTCACATGCCTGTTACTGGTAAATAATCTGTTCTGAGTTTTGCAAAAAAAAAGCTGGGGTTTATCTTTCAGATCATCTCTGAGGTTTATGAAAAACAACACTTCTCTTTGAACATGGGAGAAACAGAAGACACCATTTAAAGTTTCTTGCCTGGGGACACAGTGGCGTGTAGAGCAGCAAAGCCGGTATTTAGAACTGGAAATACAGATTTGAGAAAGGCTCACATTGTTCCTCATCAGATAATGATTACAGTTCATTGAAACGTTAATAGAAATAAAATCCACACAAAACACAACGTATGGTTACGTTAGTGTTATAACTTTCTGAGATATAAGATATTGAGATGAAAATAAAATGAAAAAGAACAATGCAATAATTGTGCTCTGTTTAATAATTAAAAACAGGTTAACAAATCCAGAGTTACTATGTTAGTCAGTTGAAAATAAACACTAATTCAACCCAATCCTGGGTTGAATTAGCATGGGATCTAATGGGATGGGATGGGATCTAAGTGATCAGGGAATTACAAAAAAAATTAAACGTAAAAAAAAAGTTCACCTTTATTATAAAGAAATGATAATAATATGAATAATTATAGCTATTATTACTACTACTACTTATAATAATCATACATTTGGTTAATATTGGACACCTACATTTCTTCATTGTCTTTCTTTTTTCATTGGGTTATTTCAGTTTACTAGAGAGCGCGTGGAGGGTGTGATGTTGTGAATAGCATTGTGTTTTCATTTGACTATTGGTTAGTCTTAGCCGCATAGAATAGTTGGCACGAGATAAAGACAAAACCTGCGGACAATAGACCAAACTGCGGTGTCAAATATTTGACTTTTGTGTTATTGGCTCTGGAACATTCTTTTCCTGCCTATTAGTCCAGCCCAGCAAACAGTCCTTTAATGGCACCTTAATGAGTTCCAAATACCCTGACAAGATCAAGGGCACATTAAACAAACGTGAACTTGTGATCCCAGGACAGAGCAGACGGGGTTTGTCTGGTCTGTGTTCCTGCAGCAGCAAACCACCATGGGGCAGCCTTCAGCATGCACGTAGAAGGAGGCTGTTACATAATCCTGTCTCTCTGTGTGTGTGTGTATGCTGTACATGTGTGTACATGTGCATATAGTGTATGTGATTTTTTTAAATGTAAATGCAAAGATGTAAACCCATAGAAATCCCTGTAGGATGGTGGGGTTAATAGGTTCTCTGCATGGCTGGATGTGATCTTTCCTTCAACAACGTTTCTAAGAGCACCCACTGTACATTTGTCCTGACGAGGCAAACATTTGAAATAACACCTCTGTTTGGTACGTAGCCTTCTCTACTTTCTTTCATTAAGATGTTCTCCTTGTTAATGATGAGCTGCTGTCACTCACACGCACACACCACACACGAACATGGTCATTAAGTTCTTTGTGATGTTGCCATACAGGAGCTAGAGTTCATCTGAGTGTAGTTTCAGTTATTTATAGCTGGCTACTGGCTTTTTGTTTTTTTCTCTCTGTCACTTCATTCAGCCAATCAGCTGGACGCACCGGCGCGTCTTTATCACTAAGGCTCAGGCGGTGATGCTGACATTTTGATCTCTCTCCTCCACATCTCTCCTCTCCTGTCCTTCACGCTTCTCATGTCTCGTCTTGTCTCTTGCCCTGTCCTTTCTCACCTCTCCTTTCCTTCATCTGCTTAAATTTGAAAGTTATTTTAAAGGTTTAAAAAAAATCAAGCTGCTCCACAATGCCATTAACTGCCCCTCAGTAGAATTAATAATTCAATTAGTGCTTGAAAAGGCATTGCAAGTAGTTGGTAAAACAAACTTGATAATTATTGTGTGCTTGAAATGGTATTTATCCATTGTTGTTCATATACTACACTCCTTCATCACTTATTTGCCTATCCTGGTCAGTACAGTTGAAGTTTGAATTCTCATCTGATGAACCGTGTCCTGCTACTCATCCTGTTATCATAATTGTGTTTATTTAATGCCGTTTTGTCATCCTTGATGTTGCGTAATTTTAATTAAGTTCTCTAAATGATTCAATAAATAAAGTTTGGAGTTTCCATCATCCAAATGCACCAGGAACTGGTTGTAAAAAAAACTGCTTGAATAACAATGTTTTTTTGTTTTGTTTTTTGGAAACGCAAATGACTGATCAACAGTCTGCCAGACTTTTCCTTCATTGTGTTGATCCTTTCCACCTTCACTCCAGACGGACTTTGTCCTCACTAATCTGGTCCCCTGTAATCTCCTGTAATCTGCCCCTCAGAGCTGTAAACACAGGCCCACTTTGTGCACCACCTGTTGGTAAAGACGCAGAAGAAGAATGGCAGTGTTGGTGTTGTGTTGTTTATCAGCCATTGGTGATTTGGAGGCGTGAATGGGTCGGTGTTGAAGTGGTGAACTCCTGAGGCTGGAACGTTTGATTGGAGCCCTGCAGGCTTCCTTTGGCCTGATAATTTGGCAGCTGCTCACAGAAAGAAGCATGACAATTGAAAAGCTCTGAGAGAGCCATGTACTTACCCATTGTGTACTTTAAAATATCATAATAGTAGTAGAGCATGTACAGCTCATTCACACAAAGACGAAAAAGTGACAGTGTTTCAAAATAATGAGATTAACAACCGTATTGTCTTTTTAACTCTGATCCCTGTTTCCTTAGAAACTGAGGTGTAAAAATTAGGATTTCTCTTTTTCTACCAACCCAAAAATACATTTTAATTTTTTTATGTATCTTATTTTTTAATAGTGTTTACCAGGAATAAACTTTCAGAGATTAAAACAGACTTTTAACCCATTTTTAAATGTCATTAGTTTCATGGACGTCAAAGGGTTAAAGATTTTAATCAGATTACTCAATGATAATCGTGACCACATTTATTCACAACTAATGATGATTAATCTAAAAGAATTTCTACATATGACAACATTTTTTTACAGCAGGTAAAAAATGAGTAATCTCCTTGTGAGTTATCTTAAGTAATTGATTTCACAGGTAATTTGACAGTCCTGATTATTACCATTCGATGATGCTCTTACTATTTAATTGAAATTAGTTTCATCTAGTATTACTGTAGTATATTACTACTATATAAAATATAGTATAATATATACTATAATTTATTGTACCATATTTTCCGGACTATAAGTCGCACTTTATTTTTCATTCTTTGGCTGGGTTTGTGATTTATACTCAGGTGCGACTTATATATTAAAATATATAATTTCATGTTTCTTATTTTCACACTGACAACCTCTAGTGGGCACTCTAGCTTGTATCTGTTACTTTTGTAACTTTCATCTTGTGTTTTCATCCATTGGCTGGTGCGACCTATACTCTGGCGTGACTTAAATATGTTTTTTTATTTACATTATTTCACGATTATTTTTTTTATTCTAAAAAATGTTAATGTAAATTTTATAATTTTTGGTTTAATCGGTCCCAATTCAGGTAATCAGTGCCGGGGTTAAAACGTTCTTGTTGCAATGAAAACTGGGTCGATTCCATAGTGTTGGTGTTAAAGCTGCAGACGTATAGAAAAGGTCAGTGGAATTAATGGCTGTTATAAGAGCCTTTGCTTTTGTCTTTATAAGCTCTGAGGTCGTCTTATATATCTACCTCTGACAAATAGTTCTTGGTTGACCCTCATGGAGAATATTAAAATTATTTTCAATTATTGCCTGTTGGTCATTTTCAATGTGTCATTATAAAAATGTCAGGATTTCATAACTCTTATCCAATTAAATTCCATTATTGTTGTCATTTTATTTGCGGGAACTCTTATCAATGGGTTTTTGTTTTCTTTCTACACCCGTGAATGTCGAATTACATAAAGCTGTTTTTCTACAGCTTACAGGCGGTGTCCTACTTTTTGCACCTTAAACGTATTCTTTTTTGTGCATTTCATAACGTGACCACCACTTACAATTCAAAACAAAACCAATTACTAGTGAGTCTACTTCATCTTTTCAGAGAAGCCTATTATTCTGTTCAGTTTCCAAGGCAGCAGCTTCAAGCAGCTGAAATGGAAATGTAATGACCTGACCTGTCATTATCTGTAGGAGTGAATGGACGTTTTAAAGATAGTGTTTTTCATAAACTGCCTCCATTTCTTCGTACCTTTCTGAATAAAAAAAGACAGAGTGAGTGACAATAAATCCCCAACACATTGGTGCCGTTCAGTGCCTCCTGTTGAAATAGGACTCTTTTCAATTTGCCCAGACAGCCTGAGTGACAAAGGACCATCTGCGTCTCCAAGTCATCGCACAAAGTGTGTGCAGATGCATGTAGTCGGGTTGTTGCTGCAGGATGTCAGCTCCACTATCCAGTAACACAGGAAATGATCAATTATTGGTGACCCACATAACCAATGTGTGTGTTACTCCTTCCATACAGGTGCTGCAGAAATTCATGTCACGTCTGGTCCAGAGCCGAGCGATGGCTCAGAAGGACCTGAGGACTCTCTCCAAGTACCAGCTGATACTGGCCAGGGACCAGTTTCGCAAAAACCCACAACCAAACATCAAGGCAGGCAATCTGTTATTTGTGAAGGGTTGCATTACGTTGGGTGGTGTATTTAATGTCACACATCATCGGATAATATAATTCAAGCCTTGTTACATCTCTGTGTAGTTGTAGGATTTCTACAAAAAAATTGGGAAAAAAACCCAAAACTTAAAATCCTTAAAGTGCTTTAAATTTTAAAAAAAATCAATTTTTGACGTGTCCTAATTCAAAATATAGGCCTTGTTGAATGTGACCATTTCTGTTTCTTTATTTCTCAGGGCCAACAGCATGGAATGCTTGAGGGGGATTTTGCCCTCTGTATCAGTTTGTATCATGGCTATGAGCTACTGATGCAGATGGGGCTCCGTTCACTGTTTTTTTACCTCCAAGGAATCGTGGATGGTTCTCGAGGTTGGTCCTCTTCATTCTACATCATCATTTTGTCATTTTCCACCTGGAATGATTTGGATTTGAGAATATCTGTTTTTTTTTTTTTTTTTTTCAGAAATGACCAGGGCAAGAAATGAGCTGCAGCGGACTCCGATCTTTGTTCAACTCTATCATGATATGGAACAAATGTTTATGAGGCCACCTGCTGGTGTGCAGCTTTTTTTTTATTATAAATAAATAAACAAAGTCATATGAGAAATATTTTTAGTTTTATTAATCAGAGGCAAATGTTTAATTTTTAGGATCGTAATTAATCATGATTAATTATGATTAATGGTTTACATTGAAAATTATGTTTAAGTATGATTTTTAATGTAATTCATTTCACAAACAAATTATTGGCATTAATGCAATAATTTTCACAGCTCAGTTTATATAATTGATACAGTTCTGACACTTGATTTTTGGTTTGATGCAAAGACCAACTTGTTTGTCTTCATCCATCCAGGTCCAGATGAGCCGTTCATGTACAGTCATCCCAAACTGAAAAAACTGGAGTCAGTGGTGCTGCAGCATTTCAACCGATGGTCTGGGAGTTCCACAGACAACAACGGTGATTAGGCGGTCACAGCAGAGCCAGGCTCTGGTTTCGTTCCACAGACAACAACGGTGATTAGGCAGAGCCAGGCTCTGGTTTAAATGTGGTTAATCTATATAAAAGCTAGATGTATGTTTACAACTTTAAAAATGTTGTTTAGAGTTGTTTTGTGCAATTTTATTAAATTTAATATAATCTACATTTTAAAGACATATTTCCTCTGCCCTGGACAGAAAACACACGTGTGATGATTTTCTCATCGTTCCGGGAAAGTGTACAGGAGATCGCTGACATGTTGAATCGCCATGCCCCGAAGATCAAGGTCATGACCTTTATGGGTCAGGCTTCAGCAGGGAAGGGGGTCAAAGGGTTCACGCAAAAGGAACAGCTGGAGGTAAAATACAAGGGTTCAAACATGTGATATGGCCTAGATACTGGTATACAGATTTTCCCTCCGTCGTGTGATGTGTGTGAAAATATTTAAAGCACAATTTGAAGCCAAGAGAAGTACGTGGAGACGATCTAGTACATAAACTTCACTGTTGACTTTTCTGACGTAGCAGTTTCCTGATGCAGACAGCCTGAGTAATAACTGCAGTGGTGGTTCCCACATGTACTGTACATGTAGAATCAAAATAGACCAGACAGGCTGTGTTTTATTATTATTTCTCCATATTTAAAACTGCCTCTGACTCATTTTTTTTAAATTGTCATGATTTTTTTAGTTTGACTTTTCTGTTTTGTTCTCTCTGTCATTTGGACTTCAGGTGGTGCACAGGTTCCGTCAGGGGGGCTTTAACACGCTAGTGTCCACCTGTGTGGGTGAAGAAGGGCTGGACATCGGGGAGGTAGACCTCATTGTTTGCTTCGACGCCCAGAAGAGTCCCATTCGCCTGGTGCAGCGCATGGGCCGCACTGGACGCAAACGCCACGGACGCATCGTTGTCATCCTGGCTGAGGGTCGTGAAGAGAGGGTCAGTGTCGAAACATAACGGTCATGATGAGTTTGGTTCTCTGTACTCAAACGTACGGTTTGTTTCCCTCAGACGTACAATCAGAGCCAGAGCAACAAACGCAGCGTGTACAAGTCCATCATTGGCAACACCAGTGGTTTTCACATGTACCCCAACAGTCCACGCATGCTGCCCGACGGAGTCAACCCCACCCTGCATAAAATGCACATCACCTGTGGACAGTTTGACCACCAGGAGAGAAAGAGGTCCTCCGGTGGTGGACGGCGGTCGAACACTGAGGGTCGCACGTCACTGGTTCACCCTAAAAACCTAAGTAAGGTCGAATATTATTGGTTAGAGAGAATGGTCACCTACTGAGTCTTAAGATAACATGTCCACTGCGTTAGTCCTGCAGGGCAGGAGAACGTCGGATGGCTTCCTCAACAGCTCCGAATATTCTCTGTGGGCGTCGACCATGAAGCTGGAGGACAATGAAGCCCGTCCAATTCTGAAGGAGTCACATTTTGTGTCCATCGCCGGTGAAGCACCACCTGAGGTTTTTACCCTTTTGTGTCCCTGTCTTTGCTTCAATTAAAAAGTCTTTTTTTTCCATTAAACGATAGGACCAGTTCATTAAAAACCTACGACTGAAGAAGTTTTGTTTGGAATGCATTACAATGTAAATTTGAAATATGTATTTCTATTTAGTTTGAGTGATACTAACTTTGTGTATGACTGAAATCCTTATGTTTTATAAATGTATAACTTCCTCCGTCCACCAGGAGAAAAACAGAGGACCGACCAGAGAGTTATCCCTGTGGGAGTGGAGACACTGGCAGCACAAGTCACTTCCTACACATGTTGTTGATCATTCTGTCCGCTGCCAACACTTTGTGAAGGTGATGGAGCTGGTGGACTCCATGAAGGACGAGAATGAGGTAGGAAAATAAGCTACCTTACTATTACCTACCCTACCCTACCCTACTGGGGCATAATGTACCCCATGGACCCCGTTTACAAACCCACAGACAGTTTGACATCGTCGATGTACCCCATGGACCCCGTTTACAAACAGACAGTTTGACATTGTTAATGCTGAGGTTGCAGCTGTCCTTCAAGGTGCATTCAGGTACCATCAGAAACTTGAGAATCCGACAATAAAGCGGTTTATTTTACTTGAGAATCCGACAATAAAGCGGTTTGTGTTGTACAGTTAAGGACAAATAGTTGTAAAAAAAATTAAAATAATGTGTTTTTTTTCCCCTCCAATTTTCTGAGGACCCCTTAGTTCTCCCTGGCGGCCATCCAGGAGGAAGTGGTCCTCACTTTGAAAACCACTGGCATAGATTACTCTAGCCTACCCTACCTTTGACTAACCCACCCAACCCTACTATAACCTAGCCTTTCATACCGTACCATATTATATCAGACCAGACCATAACATAACATACGACACAATACCATACCATACTGTACCAAACCATACTGTACCATACCGTAACATTCTAAAAACGATCCTCCCATACCTAACCCTCATCACTACTCACACCTGTACCGTAAATGAAAGAAAGTCCCCCAATGTTAGGCAGCTGTTTTTCACACCTGTACCGTAAATGAAAGAAAGTTAGGCAGCTGTTTTCAGAGAAGGTCTTCATATCTTTTCCAAATCTCTTACACAACTTAATAAAGGGAAGAATGTTTTGTCGGATGATACCAAAGAGAAAACCAAACTTAATAAAGTCACTTAATTAAAAAAAGAGTCAGCTGAGGGGTTTGTGGACTAAAACTTTTTATTTTCATTGCTCTATCAAATAATTTTGACCCTGGAGCATAAATTCCTGGCAAGATAATAATCAGACTCTGTGGTCGAATGTTGGATCTGCTCTCCAAACAAAACGAGCTCTCGCTCCCCGTGAGAAAGGCCTTCCTTTTTACCCCAATTCATCTGCTTCTGTTCTTGGCTGATCTCACAGCAGCTTAAGGCACTCGTTAATAATCAACTTGTTGTTGTGGTCACTTGAAAGCATCATTTTCATCAGGCCGGTCATCTGCTGCTATCATGTGCTCTCCAAATCAATATCAAAGAGCTAATTCAACCAGGAGGCCTCGCTCCGATCTCTCCGTCTGTTCTGTTTTAGCGTCGCGGCTGAGCCTCATCAAATCTGCCCAAAACCTTTAAGAGATTAAGGTTAAACTGCCTATTGGCTGAATTAACAAGCTTGTTCATATTACCTCCCACTCTCTCTCCCCCACGTACACACTAGATGTAGGTCACCTTTAGAAACAAATCAGGGATCAGAGGCTGAGGATAGAGGTCCGTGTCTTTCATTCATTCAGGTTATGAAGCAGACAGGAAAGACGACACTCCTTCAGATTGTTGTTTATTCAGGAGTTTTTGTAATGTTGATGTCAACAAATGTGTCATTTTAATGTCAAATAAATGCATGTGGATACGGTGGATTTATAAAGTCCACACCCGTACAATATCCTTACAAAAACAAAATGAATTAATTTGGCAACAATTCATTTAAATGAATTTATATACTTAAAATACAATATTACGGATGTTGGGATCAGCCAGGGGTCAACATGTTAGCATGTTGTTAAAACCATATTTATGTAGCCAAACTCAGTGGAGCGTGGAGGAGTGTCATGGTTCTGGCCTGTTTTTTTTATAAGCTCCATTTAAATTGTACTTTTTTCAGTTTGACTTAGTTTAATGTCCATTTAAATAATTGCTGGATATGACATTGACAATGACATGACAAGTCTTTCTTTACTTAAGTTTATTTTATTTTTTGTGTTTAAACATTTGTTTAAATTAAATGTGATCATTTTTTATTTTATAAAATGACATGACAAGTCTTTCTTTACTTACTCTTTACTTACTTCTTTACTTACTAAAGTTTATTTTATTTTTTATGTGTTTAAACATATGTTTTATATTTTATATAATTTTATTTAATTGTGTTTAGTTTTGTTTTATTTGAGTTTATTTTTATCTTAACATGCTGAAAGCTGAATTTCACAGCTGAATCAAAATCCCGTTTGACTATTTAAAACATTTTCAATCGTGACCATGTACATTTTTTTCCCTTCAGAAATATTAGTGAGAGGAATTTTGTTATTGCTCTTTTTTCTTTAACTTTTTTTTCTTCTAATTTCTGTCCACACACACATCGCCTTCCTTTCCAAACACCATTATTCTTATTTTTTCTGTCTTTAAGGCTTGAACCTCTTTCTCCTCTTTTTCATGCTGCTGCTGCTGCTGCTGCTGCTGCTGCTGCTGCTGCTGCTGCTGCTGCTGCTGCTGCTGCTTCTTCTTCTCTCCTGATGAGAAGCCTATGGAGGGCGCCCTCCCCCCACCCCTCTTTCATTACATAAGCATTCTCTGAACTCTTACATAAAGACAGGAAGCTGGAAGTAGGTTGGGTCATAATGATCTGTGTAGAGTTCACCCGTCTGTAGAAGGAGGTATCGCACCTTAAATAATGAACATTGCCAAAAATAATAGGTAAAAAAAAAAATTCTATAAAAGTTCAATTAACTTTTTGATCAAATGTTAGGGCGTTAACATCTTTAAACCTTTAAGGGAGTCTGGTTTCATTATAGCAAACACACCTTGAGGCCAACTGCTCCTCCTGTAATAAATTAAACTGTAATAATGTGGAGGAAAATACAATTCTTTTCTCTGTTTAAATATGTTAATATGGCCACACCATGCAGATTAAAAGAATATTTTTTAGAGTTCCCACACATAGTTGGAAAGCACTATGAAAACAACACACAAATAATCCAGCTACAGTTAGCTATACTGTGTTAGTTAGCAAAGAAAAAAAAAACAGAAAAAAACAAACAATAAAAATAAGTTAAAATAAGCTTTTAGTTTGGTTTAAATACTGGCCAATGGATCAGCGAATGTGAGTTAGCAAAAAGTAGCTCAGAGTTATCCATAAAAAGCTAAAAATTAGCATAAATATTAAAGACAAAAAAGCAAACATGTCATTTAAACTTTTTATTCAAATGTATCACATAAATTAGCTTAAGCTAAAAAGTCCCCAATATGACAATTCAAATTAAACCAGTAGGTAATTATTATTTTGGAAAACATTGAATGAGTAAACAGTTAGCTTCATATTAGAATAGATAAGGACAGATAAAATATTCAAAATGACTTCATGTAAAAGGCTTTAAAAAAGTAAGAAAATGATTATAGTGTTTTCTAGTGTTTTCACCCGTTAAGCAGGTAAAC